GAGATTTTATACACTGGTAACAGATATACACCAAGTATTGGCTTGGTGCATATTGGATAGTTTCTGTTGGATTTCAGTGATCTATATGTGACCTATCAGCTAACAAATAGGTTGTATAAATTTTATTGTTAGACTAGTGTTGTAAATAAAAATTTTTAATGTTTCATTTACATGTATATAACTAGTATTTCTCATTTGATCAGGTTTTAAAGAAAAATATTTTAACAGTAATGGTAAATAACCCAGTCATTTGCAAAATTTTTCAAATATCCAAAATGACCAGTCATCATCAGTCATCTCAATTTTGGATCATTTGAAAATAACTTGTGACCAAATGACCATGGTCATTTAGAAATGACTGGGGCCATTTGAGGGTCATTTAGTCTATAGGTTGGGTTAGGCTAGGTATTTGTATACTTGGGCCCAAGCTCAATGAAAATTTATAGGCCCGACCCAAGCCAGGAATGGTAAATGATCCGGTCGTTTGATCGAAATTTAAATGACCCCAAATCATCAAATTATGACAAGATCATTAAGCTCATTTATGTAGGTCGTTTGCACATAAAATAATTTTATTGGTCGAATTGCTTATATAAAAAGCTATCAAACTTAATAACATTCCTAATCGATGATCGTAGCTATATACGTATTAAAGTCAAAGTCTTACTATGTCAATTAAATATTTATAAATTGAAAACTTTTTATTAACTTTCGTATAAGTGTAAAGCGTGGAAATGAATTAATTAAAGTTCCTCAGTTTACATGAAAATTTCAGAATATATGCAACTTATTATTTCTGACAACTTATTTAAGATACAGTACCGGACAGCAAGAAACATCCACTTTTTATATATAAATATAAAAATGCTTATAACTTACACAAATAACTTTAAAAAAAATCTGTCTTATAGATTTGTTGCTTTTAGTCTAAGCTACAATTCTGTTAGAATAGATTTTTATTTTTACTATAAATTTAAAAAATTATTAGAGCTAAAGTTTATATATAATAAAAAAATTTGGCGCTTAATATATAAAAAAATTGGGATTATGGATTTTTAACCAATTAGAATCTTGCTACACAAAATAGCCAATCATAAATCTCAAAATTTGTGCTTTTAAAAAAAAACGAATGTTTCTTGCTGTCCGGTACTGTATAAATATTAATTGACATAATAAAAATTTTGACTTTAATAATATATAGCTATGATTATCGATTATATTTAATTTTGTTTGGCGGCAAATTCTGATGGCTAAAAAGCAATAGAATATCAATTAACATATGTTAAACGACCTTCTAAGTCATTTGGGTCTCGAAATGACCCAATGGATGTATGCAAGTGTCATATCTTATTGGATAATGTAGATTATGCTACCTTCCATCTACCAATTGAACTAGAGTTGTGACCCGAAGCCCAAAACCTTTCCGAGACCTTCAAATTAGAATGTTACAGCTGTTCTCATAAGTTCTGGGACAAACTAAAAATTACTCGTTTCCCGAAACCTCTTCGGTTTAGTCCTATGAATCATCTAACTCTCCGGAAAGTAAATCGCTGTCTCCGGACTGAAGTTCCGAAATCAATGACGTGTTCTGAAGAGTTAGGTGACCTTTAGGACGAAACCGAAGAGATTTCGGGAAACGGCAATTTTTTAGTTTGTCCCGAAATTTATGAGAATAGCTGTAACAACTAATGCACATTTACTATAAAGTAACCAAAACATTTCTGAAATGCAATCTAATTATCATGTACTTTATGTCTTACAGCTGTTCTCATAAATTCTGGGACAAACTAAAAATTGCTCGTTTCCTGAAATCTCTTCGGTTTCGTTCTATGAATCATCTAACTCTCCGGAAAATACATCGCTATCTCTGGACTGAAGTTCCGAAATCAATGACGTGATTCCGAAGAGTTAGACGACCGTTAGGACGAAACCGAGGAGATTTCGGGAAACGACAATTTCCAAAATTTATGAGAACAGCTGTAAAGTCTAAAATTAAAATTCTAACCCTTTCAGTATAGTATAGAGTTTCGGAAAAGGTTGCGGGTTTCGGAAAAGTTTCGGGATTTTATATATAGTTTAGGGTTTCGTTACCCAACTCTAAATTGAACTACAAGGTCCGTTATAACATAAAAATGATGAAGTATCTTTTGTATCTTAATAAAGAAAATTCCTTGCGAAATTTTAGTAATATCTATGCCTTATTTGATCTTAGTACTAACACTAAAATATTTTACTATGTTTTTTGGTCATGTTATCGATCAGAATTCGAAAGTCAAGTGTAATTTATTTTGTCCAATCAGGGACAGGATTTCTGAGCGTTCAATCGGAACTTGAGAAAATTAATATCCGAATAAAATCATTATAGTTACATAGATGTTACACATAGTTTGCATAATAATCGGCAAACTTGGCACAGATTCAAATTTCGCGTTTTAGACATGCATGGATTAGAGAATGGGATGGATGTTACACTAATGAATGAGGACAAAAACATTACGTAATATCTTTATTTAGAATTTGTAACGCAAATCTCCATATATACCCGCGGAAATACTTTTGCATCTCATTTCCGTGACGGCCATGTCATTACCCGATCACGCAAGTGACAATTTACTGACAATATATACCCGCAATTAACCAAATGCTAGTTTTATAGTTTTATGTGAATATTCCGTAGGTCGAGAAAATGAGCGGCCGACTTTCGGATTAAGTTCACTTCGAATGCACAAATGTATAAAGTTATATGATATTTTATAAGAAATAAAAATCTTATGCCATGTTTATTATATTTAGAAAAAACATCACGTATATTTATAAACTTCTTTTCACAAAGCTCGACACATGATTAATAAAGCCAAATAAACCGGGTTAAAATTTTACGCCTGAGAAATAAAACAATAGTACTGCAGCGTATATAAGGACGTACATGACACGCTGTGCAAGTTAGTACACGATCTTTCCAAAGACACTATATGTAACAAGTTTCGGCCGAGATGAATTATTTTTAGAAAAAAATTATTGTAAAATAGTAACAATTAGTTGACAAATAAATAACACACATATCACCTATGAAACGACTTTGAAAAGAAGTTATCACTTAAGTTAAAGAATTCTAAACAATACACGCCATGATTTAACTCCACAATAGTGGCGCGTTAATTAGAGGTCTGATCTGTTGAATATTCGAATGTTCAAATGCCAATATTCGAATGCCCCAATGAATTTTCGGTGATACAAATTTAGAAAATTAAAATTCATAATAAAATGCTAGCTTTATACTTATTACGAAGTAGCATGAAATGATCAAACTTATTGAATAATGGTTTACGGTAAAATTATATCGCTTTGACTAATCTGAAAGTTGTCTAAAATATGCGAGCGGCTTCTATTATGGTTAAGGCTAGGAAAAATTAGTTCATGTAAAAATTATAGTAATATAGTGTAACGAATATTGCAATCAATTTCATCAAAGTTGAATAAAAAAAAAATTTTTCATTGTCTGAAAACGTGTGCTAAGTTTGTAGTGTAGATCTGTGTCACATAATGTTGACAAATTTCTTCAAAGTTCACTGATGTTAAAATTAGTGCTTTATGCATAGCAAAATTGCTCAAGTAAACCTTTATGTTGGAACATTAAAGGTGGTATTTTACATAGAGTTTGAGAAATATACAAACGGCATTTGTTTTTAACATACATCTGATTTTGAAATCTGATAGAAAATCTGTGCCACAACTTGGAAATCAATTTTGTTTAGGACGTTAGCATTAGAGACTATAGCAATAGATTGTAGAGTTTGGAACCGTTTTATTTTACGAATGTTAAAACCATTTAATCGGGTTTAACATATCTGATATGAAAAGTAAAACCGGTCTAATAGATTGTTATTTATTGTATGTAAAATTTCGCTCCCATCATGTTCAATTAGTGCACAAAGATCAGTTTAAACACTAGTCTTTTGGGTATTTTCGATTTTTTCTTTTTGCACGTGTTCGGAATTCATATAGAGCTGATCCAATTTTGATTTTTTTTTTTAAAACCCGATTAAATTTAGATAGATATTCATATGTTTTGACCTTTCATGTGATTTTTGCGAGAAATTACGATCAAATTTGGTCAAAATTTTCAAAAAATTTCCTTTTAGAAAATTGGGTTTCGAAAATTTTCCGCCCCTGCATTGAAGTCACCAGACCTAATGCTTTGATATGAAGTCATAGGTCCAGTGAATTTCGCAGGAGTTCAAGGGATGTTGCGCTTTTTTTTTTAGGGTACGTACGTACGTTAAGGTTAGTTTTTTTGATGCAGTTATCAAGAATAGAAGTTATGCAATACGCAGATCTGGGCAAGAAAATAGATTAGAAATAAACAGAGTTTGTTAAAATCGCAAACAGGCGACAGCCCTATTCCCATAGTTTTCTACATTGTGTATCATATTAAAAAGAATTAATATACTGTAAGAAATATATAATAATGAATTTGAATAAAGGCTCTCTAAACAAAGAATACAAAGCAACAATATATATCTTTATTAAAGAATTCTAAAATATATTACAAAATAATTTTCTAAAGAAACAGCTTTTAGATTACACATAAATCAAACAAACAACCTTGTTAACACTACTAATAATTGATACATGTAAAAACAATTAAATATCAAATTTATTTAGTTCATGCATACAATTTACACGCTATTAATTGTTCTCTTTTTAAATTTTGTGAGAGACTCGTTATTTATGGAGTCGTACCAAATACCTATTTTATTTTCTAACTGGGTAGGTAATTCAATTAATATAAAAAAATTTCCCGCACTTTTAGGAAGGGTTTTTGCATTTAGGAGGCTTGCACTTAGAGAAGGTTGGCTGTAAAATCCAAAAATTATGGTATTATTGTTTTGCATTTCGTGAAGAGTGACGCTTTATTTATTTATTTATTTACTTTTTTAAGTATAAACATACAATGAAACAGAATGACTAGCCTTATGTGTTTCATTAGGTGAAAGTTTATGACGGGTCTTCCCTCAGAATCACCATATACAAACGATCCGGGCTTACCTAGTTCATTTATTGCCATTATTAACTCTTTCGGACATCAACAATTTTTAAATCAGAAGTGGAAGGTTTGAAAACCTTTTTAGTGTAATAAATTAGATTATCATAACCGAATAATGGCTTATTTTGGTAAGAACAAAAATCTTCTTTTAATCTAATCTTGCATTTCCTTTTTTTATCAATAATGTGGCAAATGCAAATTTGGATGACATTCTAATTAAGGGTAATGTGTGACGAATTTAGGTGATGATTATAAAGTGGCTGCTGTGGTACGCGTATTTCTTATTATACCGGCCGAATATGAAAATGGAAATCACACAAATATATCCGAGAATTATCACATAATTTATATTATATAGAAAAAAATAACGTATAATTGATTTTTACAGAAAAGTTTGTACGTACGCATATATTAGCAAAAGAGGTTTTATTTATTATGCAAGATAAGAAAGACAAACGAATTAAACGGAGAAATTTATTTATATAAAGACCTTATTTCGTACTGATAATTCTTTACGTGATAAAAGATAATTATTTCTATTACGTACATGCATTGAGCGAACTCGTTTGCTTCATTCCGTTATATATGAAACGATAAATTTTTTATTTAAGCAATAAGAACGTACTTTTTTCATAAGTTTTAATCGTAAGATTTAATCATCACTATATTATATATTTATTCAAAATATTAAGCTTTCAATATGCATAGAATGGTTCTAAACAACTATTATTTCGTTTCTAGCCATCGTTCCTTATTATCTTTCTTTTCTCTCGAATCTTCAATTCATGATGTCACTATTTTCAACTTCTTATCTACTCTCTTCTTTATCATTTTCGCGATATTCGCAACGAAAATTTTTTACTATATAATCTATCATACGTATATTTCTCCACTTTCAAAAATTCCTGGTCCAAGATTTTCTTCTTTTACCGAAATTTTGGTATCATTAAAAAGACCAGAAGGTCGTGTATTTGAATGGTTTTATTCATTACATTTGAGATATGGTAATGTTGTCAGAGTTGGCCCCAAATTTGTCTTATTTGATGATTTAGAAGCTGTAAAATTTATTTTAAAAGACAGCGTAAGTTTTAACTCTATCTTATTGAAAATGCAAAAAAAACACGAACATTTATAAGAAAATAATAATAAAATAATAATAATAATTTTTATTTTTATTAGGATATGCCAAAAACTCCATCTGTTGCAGGAATCCGAGCTCATTACGACTTACCAACTTTATTTTCTGCCACGTATGTTTTTTTTAAAAAAAATCTTAATCATGAATCACATGATTTATTTTAATTTTCTCTGTTACTTTTTATCTTGCAAAACATTATTTAGTGATAAGACATTTCACAGACAACGCGTAGGCATCTTTTTTCAATAATGTCTTTTTTGTGTTAAACTTTACTGTATGCTATGGTAACTGAGAAATAATTTTGACAATTTTTACAATTATAGAAACGTATCTTATCACCAGCTTTCTCTGTAAAATACGTAGCGTCACTCGAACCACTAATCCAATCTTGCGCCAAATCGTTAATCAAAAAAATCGATTCGCTTGCAACGCTTTCTCCTAAACCCTCTCACTCGTTAAACTCGATATCTAATCAATTTAATAATGAAAGTACACCATCGATAAACCTTTATCATTTGATACAATGTTGTACTTTGGATATAATTGGCGAAACGGCTTTCGGAGGATCGTTTAACATGATCGAGAAAGAAAGTCATCCATTGCCTATAAAAATATTTGAAGAGATGAAAAGAAGGGTCATGTGTCATACGTTCCCTTATTTTAAAACGTTCTTTAAAAAAGATCCTTGGTGTGATGAGGTAAATATTGTTCACCTTTCTTCTCTTTTAAATGCATAACTTTAGCATTACAATATTAACTCTATTTTTATATCATTATATTTAAGTTTATCTCAAAAATCGTAAAAAGTAGAATAGAGCAAAACTCAAAGACAACAAAACATCGTATAGATATTTTACAAATTTTACTTAATAACCATGATCCACTGAAACAATCCTCACCGACTTCACCTGTGAACATAGCCGATGGTAAAACAATGAGTGACTTTGAGATACAAGATCAAATTATGGAATTTTTAGTGGCCGGTAGTGATTCAAGTGCGTTTACCGTCATTATGGCAATTATTATGTTACTTTATCATCCTGAGAAGTTGAGAAATTTACGATTAGAATTGGAATCTGCATTTCCTGAATTACAAAATCGCACAAAGTCGTGTGAGAAAGAGGATGAACTATTTTTACCACCTCATGAAACTTTAAAATCTCTCAAATATCTGAATGCCATAATAGATGAAACTTTACGACTGTTTCCTGCTGCTTTAGGTGGCATAATGCGACAAACCACGGAGGATACCATAATTTCCAATCATTTAATTCCTAAAGATACTATAGTTTCTGCGTCATTATGGAAACTTCATCGATCAAAACAAATTTGGGGTCAAGATGTTGATGAGTTTGTACCTGAACGATGGTTTGATTTGAATTCAAAAATAAGAACTGATGCATATTACCCTTTCGGTAGTGGTTCTCGGTTATGTATCGGAATTAATTTTGCCATGATGGAAATAAGAATTATCTTAAGCGCATTGGTAGGAAATTTTGATTTTTTTGTCAGGGATGGAGCCGATTTACAAATTGTACAATTTATTACTCCTTCACTGAGAAGTAAAAAATTTGAAGTAGATATTACCCGACTACGTGAAAGTAAAAAAAATAATGATGTATATAACGCATGATCGATTTTACTATTAAAAAAAAAATTTTTTCTGTATTAATTATATCTAATAAAACGGTATTAAGTTGACAAAAACCAAGTTCCTTTAATAATAATCGATTACAAGTGCATTCCTAAGGGTTGACATGAATACTCATTTAGCAGACTAGAGTAAAATTGCAAGTAGAACCACATGATAAGACCATATATATGGTGTCCAAAATTATGATACGGCTACTACCAAATTATAAAATATGTGAAAATATTTTTTTTTGTATATAGTAAAACTATACTTTCCTATAGTGCAGGAAAAAACAGATTCGCGATTTTGATTATATGTTATGCTTTACAAAAGATATTATCAACCATGATATTGTTACGGGGTGAATCGTACGATCGATAATCTATACACTAAATATACGATAAGGCAACTCTCCAGAGGCGTGAAGTTGGTGATTTGGGTCATATAATTAAAGGGAAATTATTGTCGGATTAGTGAGCTTATGTGTCCTACCTCGCACAAGTGTCTTAATTAAGCTATCCTTTTTATAACTTTGAAGGACTAATAGACTTAACATAACTCACCTTATTTTACAGTGGTCTTATTTTTTATAAATTCCATAAACTATCTAAACCTCCACAGTTAAATTACGAACCAGTTTGTCTATGACGTCATTACCCACGACAATATATAATCCGTCAAAAGAAAATCACTTAATTAAATTCGGCACTTTACACCCTTAAGATATAACTGATCCTGATAAGTGATAAATTTAGTCTTCTATCATACGTATGATTTATGGTATGCTTTATTAATATGATCCCACAAAACTATAGCAATTTATATAGACATCATTAATAAGATAATTAATTGGTTACTATCAATATTTTACCATAACCCAGACATATGATGTCAAATGAGCGATTAGTAGTATGATAAATTGGTGAGCTATTTAAGAGAAGAAATGGAAATTAGTTCTTTTGTCTTTGCTACTATCTCCAAAGTCCAACTTTGTCGTTAATGTCAATCCACCCACCCACTACCAGGAACGAGGAAGAGAGAGAAAGGAAAAGTGTGATTTGATTAGTTATTGATATAGGTTTGATAGCCCATGAGAGCATCCCGGATGCCAAGGGTAAAACTGGCGGAACAGGTCGGATACCAAAGAGAATAAGTGAATGAAAAAAATAAACGCGATGCTATGGAGCTAGCTGTAGACCACGTGAGCAGCGAGACGAAATCTCATATGGTGTATCTCATAATTGTGTTTTTGTTATGTTTTTTATGATCGAGCAACAAATATGTAACCCTATGACTAATTGTAATCGTGTGATTGCCGACAATCATTTCCAACACAAACTCCTGATTTATCAATATATGATAAATTGGGTCAATCTTATAAACACAATCGCACGACGACGGAGGGGTTACATAATTTTTCAAAGCGCAATTAATGTTCAATTAAATATACCGTTTCTACCGTGAATAAGCACCACGCCCTCTACCCCACTTTTTTAAATATCAGATTAGTGGGAATACTTTGGCCAAAGACTTCATTGCAATTTCCGTTAATCTGACATTTAAAAAGTGGGTAGAGGTGTGGTGCTTATTTACGGTATATAAAATGTTTACCATATCTTTTTTTTGTTTGTGTCACATACAAAACAAGTATATGCACTATTTTCATTCCGTCACAAACATAAATACTATTGTAATAAGTGTTCAAGATAGCAATTCTTCGGATATCTTCATGAAATTGTCTTGTTATATTCCTTTTGTTATATTTAGCTCGGTGAATTTTTTTATCAATTGCCAAAATGTACCTAGCCCTCGACGTCAACAGGCTAGCGCATTAGTTGGTGCTAGACTTTATTTCTTTGGTGGAGGCTCTACAATTGCTTTTAATGATGTTTGGTATCTTGATTTATCGAGTTCATTTAATATTTCTACACCTCCATGGCATAGTGATGTTTCAATACCAGTAGGATATAACTTTGGTAGCTCTTGCCTTAGTCCTATTGATAATTCTACAGTTTTTTTAGTCCGAGGAAGAACATGGATAGCTAATACAGCTTCTTATTCATATACATCATCAGTATATAAATTTGATTCGAAGATTTCACAATGGACAACACCAACTACTAATAATTTTAATTCTAGCTTTGTGACTCGTAATGAAATACAAATAATTATGGGAAAGTTTTTATTTTTGGCGGATATAGTTATAATAATTCAATTTTTTATAATGATATTAATATACTTGATATCACTACTATGACTTGGTCAACACAAACTCAGTCTCAGACTGCCTTTACTTATGCCGACTATTCTGCTACATTATTGCCAAATGGTCTTATTATTTACATTGGTGGGCGTAGTGGTTCAAGTCCAAGTATGAATCCAAGCCTTAATAATATGGCTCAGGTATAGTATAACGATGTTATTAATATTAGGCATTTTATAATTTCAAATATTTATTTTAAAGTTTTGCTTTTGATTAATATTAAAATACAGATTCAAATATTTAACACAAAATCCTACACCTGGTCTACTAAAGTAATATATACAATTAATATTATTACTGATAATAATTATATCTAATTTTTTGCAAATATATGTGTATGTTCTTATTTAGCTTGCTATTGGTCCTACTATTGCATCTCGTGTGCAACATTCTGCTGTTTTAAGTATGTATATTATACATAATAATAATATTGTATTAACAGTTACTGTAAGTTTTGATTTTTATGTCAGATTATTGTTGGTTTTAGCCCAGAATGGAACTATTATCATATATGGAGGTTCAACGCTTAACGTCACTTCTGGCAATATTGTTAATGTGTTTTCTGATATTGCAGTATTAAATACAAATTCCTGGGTATGGTCTGTTCCAAGTGTTTCTGGACCAAGTGCACCACCACTCGCACAGCATTCTGCTGCATTATACAAAAATTATATGATACTTGCATTCGGTAATTAATTTTTATATGTTTATTTATCCAAGAAAATATTTAATTTTTACATATTCAGGCGCAACTTCAGCAACAACTTTACAGACAAATAATATTTATATTCTTGACATACAAAACTACACCTGGGTTACAACAAGCCCAGATAAACCAACACAAAGTAGCAATAATTTCCCAACTAGTCAAGCTAGTCAAGCAAATCATAATTCCTCAGATTTATATATTGGAATTGGCATTGGTATAGGTGTAGTTATTATAGCTGTAGTTTTATTTATTATTGGATTTTTTATTTATAAAAATCGACATAAAGAAGAATTTATAGAGACACCTGGTACATTCAGGGATGATCATATATATGAAACACATATGCCTACAGTTTATACACCCGGACCTCTGTCCGAAACATATGCACGAACTCCTATACATGGAGCTCCAGTGCCTGGTTATAATTATTATAGTTCATAGATTACAAGTCCATACATTTAAAAGATAAAATATGTTATCCGGCAAACTCATAATTTCTTTTTGTTTTTCATGTGTTACTATGTAATTATGTTTATTCCAGTATTAAAAATTAAAACTCAGCGAGCGACTCCCTACCAATCATGATCATAAATTGCGTACTGCATTATTGAGCAAAAATTGTCGAATACGGTAATTTGACAAATGATTGGCTACATGTGCTGCAAAGTTCAGTGTTGGCATATGACCTGTTATGACCATTATGACCATTATGACTAGTCATAGGTCATAAGTCATAAAAAAAATATGTTATGACCTATGACCTTAGTCATAACCTCTACCCAATAGAATTACAAAATAATTAGCCAATAGAAACTGTGCAACAAATTATTATAGTAAATATTACGATTATTAAAAAAATTCGT